ATTCTTCCTGCCTGTAGTCATGTGACCTAAAGTAGTCACATGTGCGAAACCAAATCATAATAAACTAGTCATGTGACCAAAGTGATCACATGCTCAAAACCCATGACCTTATAGCGAGGTTATGTACAAAACTTATAAACCAATCATAACACAATAAACAAGTCATATGACTCGACTGAGTCACATGCGCGAAACCCATGACCTCATAATGAGGTCATGTGCAAAACATAAATCATATGCACAAGGCTTACCCGCAAGGCATACTCGCAAGGCGTACTTGTCAGGCGCACGTCCCATGACTCATACTTGAGCTATGTGCGAAAGCATCCCAAATCTCACACATAACAAATCATATGATCCTAATGAGTCATATGTGTGAAACAATAACGTACCTGTGACTCATAACTATGCGTCACGTGAAAACCCTTTTCTCGCTAAGCCACATTCGTGACACAGAGGAGCTGCACACTTAGACAGGAGAGGGGGCTGGATTGTTTGATGGTCTTATAATCAGTTTCTGTATGGACATGACAGGCGGGTAGTAGGTATGGGACCGTAGACTTTGTTAGCCTGTAGTTAGTGGTATACTGGTTAGCAGTATCCTTGTACCAGCAGGAGCTTGTTGTATGATAGTGTTGGCGGTATGAGTTTACATAAAATTAGATTGAATTCTAAGTACTTTTCTTACTTATTACTTATATCGTTACGAATATAAAAACAACTTTAGACTCTTTACTATTATCACGACCTTTATTACTATTATAATAAAAGAACTCTACGTAAGGTAGAGTTAGAGAAAGTTTATGATAGGCATTACAGATAGAAGACATCGGTCTTATACTATTAGTAACCTAGGTGTAGTCCTAAGAACTATTCCACAAAAGAAGAAGAAGAGAAGTATCATACTCCACTGCCAAGAACTAACTATCCAAAGTGGAATCCTTACACTGTGATAGATGAGAGTTTGTATACAGTTATTCTACCAAGAGTCTGTACACTCCTATATGTTTAACAAATACACATCTCTTACTTTTTATTTATAATATAACAATTGCTATAGCACTAGTAGTTAGTTTATAATAATTATTACCTATAAGTTACTTACATGAGGTATTTTCTTAGAGGCATACATTTGGAGACAATATAACTGAAATCCTAGTGGTATAATTAAATAAAACAAAATACTACAGTTTTATAGCAGGTTACTAGTAAGGATAATAGTTAATCTAACAAAATCTGAATAGAAATTAGTATACCATCACTCAAATTGAATTCCAAACATGTAGCATGCAAATAGGCACTTAAGATACAATAGATACATAGGATTTCAGAAATTAAATATGTGTATTAAGATGAAAGGTTGACCCATTAGACACATTATCACCTTTTGTCAATATTTTTACTTTGTACTTAGCTGAATTAATTTGTGGTTGTAGTACTATTCTAATTATAAATACTGTTTTTTTTTTTTTTAAGCTCAGAAGTAGTAGTTTTTGATTGATATAAAACCTTCTTCTTAATCCAAGCCATTTTCTTCTATTAGTAGTAGGTAGTTCTAGGATTATGGGTCCAGCCTCTAACCTTTTTCTTTTTCTCCTCTGGTGCTGATCTCAAGTGAGAGTTTAATGATAGTGTTACTATGTGTTACTACTATAATAGATTATGATATGAATTGTCTTACTAGTACTTCCCGATTTGTCTGCTTAACCGGAACTTGACTGGAGGTCTTATTGTCCTAGAGGAGTACTTGCAGGCATTTATCTCGCATGCATCGAGTACTCAAGTACTGTACCAGTACTTGTACGGTACTCGACTACAAGTAGATAGGGCCCCCTTGCCATGCTCTCTGCAGTACTGGTACCGGTGAGTGCGGTAACCTTGCTTCTCCATCCAACGACCACAGACCAGGGAGCACATTCGGGAAGTACTTGCACGAGTGCTCTCGCACAGTACAGTTCCGTAGGGCTAGTTGGTGGGGGTATTAATTGCTGAGAGGTGAGTCGTGATGCTGGATATCATCAGTCACATCCAGTCAAGGTGATTATGGCGTGGGCAA